GATTTTAGAACGAATATATCGCAGAAAGATAAAAATCATATTTTCCTACTGTGAAACGTAACAATATACAGTTAGTCAATCAACTGAAATCTCGAAAAAATAGTAATATCTACTTGCAATTTTTATCAGGGGTATGATGCCACTAATCTCCATATACAGTCTAGCAAAGATAAGAAGAGCAGTAGTTTAAGTGGTACGAGAAGAGCTAAACAGCTCTAGCTAGAGTGGAACTCTATTTTAACAGTTTTTAGGACGATTGCGTTTGCAATCATATAGTAATTGTGTTGTAATAGGTTTTGTAGGTTTTGCCTCAGGTTCTTCAGTTCTGTCTATTGTTACTATCATCTTACCACCTTTCAAAACAACTATTTCACCAATATTTCTGTATATTTCAAATATTATCATATTTGTCTTTTAATAGTAGATGTGTGATTTATTTCAATTGTTTCATAATAAACTAGGATAAAATATTATTTTCGATAGCCACTTTTTCATGTGTTTTGATTCACCATGCCAAGTAGTTAGTTTTGTGGAAGCCCTACTTGTTTTTCATCACACCAATTAAGAGAATTAACTAAATCGAACGTAACGTGGGAGATATCATGATTTAAACGTACAACATTTCATATTTTTCACTGCAGTAATTGATTAAGTTTTTATTTTTAATGTCGACTCTTTTCAGTTGTTCAAAATGGTGTTCTTTTGTGATTCGAAAACGCCTTCAACTTTTTCGTGACTCTAGGTGTAGCTGGCGAGCCGAGCAAAACACGTTTTAAATATCGTAGGCGTCAACCAACCTGTAAAATCAAACGTGTTTCAGTTTATTTTTTCTTGCTAACACAATTATTATCTTTCTAGGTGCCATGACTACCATTCGTAACAATGAACTTCTAACATCAAATAAATGCTATTTACTATTGTAACACGAATAATCTATTTTAACTTAACATTTTAAGATTCACAGTGTTAGCTTTAAAATCTAAAACTAATAAAGGCTCAAATGTCACTGTCTTTCATTTAATTGATTGCAACAATTTAGAAACCAAAGCGAGATTATTGTTTTCCTAAACAATAAAAAATTTACTGTGGTACTGCAGTTTTAATTAGGTTCAACTATAAAATTAATGTTTCACAAGTTTGTGGAAAAACAAAAAAAGATAATCGAACTCTATTTAACAGTACAAACAGTGATATTTTAGATCAAGTATCTAAATGAGCCATTGGGTCAACAAGGTGGACATACTAGTCTCCACGTGTAGAAGCAATGGCATCGTTGCAAACTGACTCCAGCTGATAGAGAATCAATTCTCTCTATGGAACTGAGCAACTTCATGGCGAAAATAAGAGAATAGTGTCCGACCTAAACAACAGCAGAAGGTAGAATGCAGATCCTCGTAATTAATGGGCTTTGTTAAACCTAATTCGCACCAATGCGGGGAAGTCTAACTCAAGAATATTCAGCTTAAACAGTTCTAAGATCACCCATGTGACTTAGGGACCGAAACCAAACAAAGAGTCAGATATTTAATCATTGCTATTTACCATGTGGGTTACCTCAACTTCACAACTCATTAAGCAGCTGTAATTTATACTACAGCAATTCTTGGCTTAAATTTGGCATTTTCATATTTATTTTAAACTACATATAGTTGGTGTAAAGGATGTCATGTGTGTAATATTAGGGATATTTATATGGTATTCATATCGAAGGTGAACGAAATATGACGTGGGATGTCCCTTTATAAGGTGTGAAATTGCTTTAAAATTAATCAAGAGTATTAATATCTCCATCACTATAAGTTTATTCTGCTTCAATAACTTCAGACATCCAGTTCTAAGAAGGTTCCGTCCGACGCAAACAAAAATCAATTTTCATCTTATGAAATACTTGTCTACATATTGCTTAGACGTAGGCGAAGTAATATTACATTGTTGGAAAGTTACCTTTATAATCTCAGGTAGATAAATGAAAATCCAAAATTATGATTTTCGTTTTATTATCAACAACCAATCGAATGGATGAATATTAAAGTACGTTGCGCCTCGTAAAAGGTTATGAGTATCCGTTCTGAAAATACTTGGGGATTTAATAAATTTAATGTTCAACGTTAGAATGTTATCAATTTTGTTTCAAGAGCTTCTAAGGCAAATTGAGTTAACTTCAAATGTGTTCCCAATGACAGCTTGAATTGCTGGGGTGACTTCACTGGGGTGGGGATGACGATGTGTTGGACACAACAAACCCTTAAGCCTTGAAGTGTTACGAATACTTCTATCGTGTTTTGTTGTACCAGGAAACATCATATGACCACAATGTTAGGTAAAGGCGTTGCAATAGTTAAAACAAAAAATACAAAAATATGTTTGGTATGTATGTAGATGGAAAAGTAATCTAACGTCTGGTTGCATGTTAAAAGTAAATGATGTATAAGAAATCATGTTTAACATTATTTTAATTTGTTAACTCCTCAACCCAGTGCTACACCAAGTGCAGGCAAACACAAATACAGTACAGTACAACGGGAGCATATGATTTAAAGTTAGGTTCATTTTACGTATATTTTCCAAATTTACAATTAATAAATATCAAGTATATTTGTCATTGGCTGTTTTCCAACAGTCATACTATACAGGGCGAATTATAAATGAGTTCCCCCCTACTTTTTTACATTTCTTAAGATATCAACTCCGGACCACGTCAGATTACTGTAGAGTAGTAAGAACTTCATTTTGACTGGGTATAAATATTTAGCCACCATCTTGGATCCGCCATATTGGATATAAATAAAGTGTTTCTTTTACCGTGAAGATAGGGTTGTGACCCATCGTTTCAAACTAGATTGTTACGCTGAATACGATGCTGCAATCCGTTTAAAAAAAATCTTAATCCATTCTAAAGTTAAGAGAACTTTTTATAACTTTATGTTTAGCCCATTTTAACATTGTGCATTTACAAATTAAGACCATAATCTCAAAATACTGTAGTGCTAGATAAAGATAAGTACACACCACCATTCATTGTCGACCTATTTTCTCTTGGTTATGATGGATGTATTTTTTTCGGCCGCCATCTTGGATCCGCCATTCTTAAATGTGATAAATTATGTTAAATATGAAGGTGGTGTTGTCAAATGTGATTGTTAATTATGACACATAATTTTGAACTATTTTTTAAATCCTGAACTCAATGCCGGAATTATTCTTTAATTTTCTTATTTTGTTTTTGAAATATTGACAATTTAAGTAAAATAATTGTAACATTTCATCACGAAAGCTTGATAACAATAAACAGATTGCGGCATTGAGTTCAGCATAAAAAAGTGGTTTAAAATTATGGGTCACAACACCACCTTCATATTTAAAATAATTTATCACATTTCAAAATGGTGGATCCAAGATGGCCGCCGAAAAATACATCCGTCATAACCAAGTTAAAATAGGTTGACAATGAATGGTGGTGTATACTTATCTTTATCTAGCACTATTTTGAGATTATGGTCTTAGTTTGTAAATGCACAATGTTAAAATGGGCTAAACATTTATGTATATAAAAGGCAAAGCCCTCACTGACTCACTCACTCACTCACTCACTCATCACTAACTCTCCCACTTCCCATTTACCTAGGAGGCTGAAATTCGGTACACCGATTCTTTGGGCATTAAATAGCAAAACTAAGTAGATTTTATTCTGATCGGGCTTTCGGGCTCCGCCCCAGTGGCTCTGGAGTTTCCCATGTTAACTTTATGATTTTTCATATTTAAAAGGAATTACTGAATCTTAACAGCTGTTTCAATTAAACAAGTTGATTCTGTTCTATGATGTTCAATAGCGTCAAAGTTATAAGGATTACCAACAGGGTGCAGCACTGTTATTTTTTATTATTTATGACAACAGCTAATTTGCAACCAAAAGATGAGTGAGCGAAGCGAACGAACTTCAACCTGGAGGCGAGTTAGCGTAGCGAACGAGCTAACCTGAAGCACAGAAAACGTACTACTATAACTACGTACTACTATATACTACTATAACCTACTACTATAACTATACTGGTTATAGTAGTACGTTTTCTGTGCCTGAAGGCAAGTGAGCGCATCAAACGAGCTCCAACCTAAAGGTGAGTGAGCGTAGCGAACGAACTTCAACCAGGACGTGATTGAGCCATGCGAACGAGCTCACTTATGAAGTTAAACGGGGCAAAGCCCGCGGGTACAGCTAGTAAAGTTATAAAAAGTTCTCATAACTTTACAATGGATCAAGACTTTTTTAAACGAATTGCAGCATCGTATTCAGCGTAAAAATTTACTTTGAAACGATGGATCACAACCCCTACCTTTACATTTGAAAAAAATACTTTGTATCCAATATGGCGGATCCAAGATGGCAGCCAAAAATTTATACCCAGTAAAAATGAATTACTTACTACTCTACAATGATCGGATGTGGTCTGGAGAGGATATCTTAAGAAATGTAGAAAAAAGTAGGGGGGGGGGACTCATTTAAAACTCACCCTGTATATGACTTCTGTACCCACCTTACTGAAAAATAAATCATTTTAACAAAACGTTTCCAGGCCTAATACTAATTAAAAATTGTTTTTAACACAAAATTTAATGTGCTCATTATATTACACGTCACATATAAATAATTAGCATGGTAGCATACAGTATCCTTTCAAGTGACAGACAGGATGTCCAGCATATAACTCACGTCGTTAAGTGTCGTGTTCGGCTATTAGCTTTGACGGGGAGATTTTCGGGCGGTGTGCTGACGGATTTGAGTCAGGTGTTCGGCTGATATTCAAAATACACGTTTATTTGCCGTTTCCTCGCTTTGCCATTTGTCGTTTATTGCTCGCTGCGTTGTGTGCGTTGTGTGTGGTGCGACATTTAGATTGATTGTTTGGTATATATTTGTGTGCACCGTGCTACGACGACGGCCTTCCTCAGATAGTTCCAGATTTAGACGCTTGGGCGCAGGCCTGGCTGTGGCTACCGTCTACGAACGTCGTCGGACGCATTCCCCACTCCCAGGCCTACCTACCCAAACTCTATCAGTAACAGTTTCCCGTTATCAGTTTCCGAGTTTCCAGTTTTCGCAGCCGTTTCGGTGTTTTGTGCGTTTCCTCATTCATCATGGGAACCGTAGAAGAAACCTACGAGGGCGAAATCACCCGCAGGAAAGTCACGAGGACAAGTCTTCGGATTCAAGAGGTAAATTTATTTTCAAAATCTGTGTTTGTCAGTCTAAATACATTTTGCCCGGTTTATGAAATGTCGCCGGCAATGCGGAAAGAGCTGATGACTAAATTAAACTTTGCGTGTGGGCGAAGCGTCTGCTTCTTCTTCTTCGTTTGTGCTCTTCAAGTTTTCTATATGGAGATTATTTTAATGTTGCTCAACTCTGTACAATACGGCAAATCAAAATATCAAATGAGCTTAAAATTATAAGAGATCTTTTAAATGTATTAATATTAGTCCACCGTCCACCGCAAATGGCGAAAACGACACGTCTTTTATTATATGAATATTCATCCATGGATTAAGTTAACCATGTATTATACTCATGTTCCTCCAATACCATAGCAATAATAAAAGAAATGTTCTTTTTACTAAGCCAATCAAAACATGTTTGAAATTATTCCCCCGGCTAGGTTTATTATGATAATCCACGAACGAACGCACATGATCTCCAAGTTAAATTAACGGCAAAATAAGTTTAAGGGGCAAAAGCGTAAAATGTAAAATGAAAACTAGTTTTTGATCTTATCAAACATATTTATAGACATTAATTCAATTGTAAATAAACTGCTTCCTATGAGACATAAAACCAAACATTCTATTTTATTTAATAAACACCATAGGTACATTAAAACGTGAGCAAAGTTCATTAATAATAAAAAAAAAACTTATTCCAAAGTCAGCTTTGATAATGGTTTTATAAGAATATTGTCGATTCTTACACTTGCAAGAACACCATAATACCCCAACGCAACATACCTGTAACCTAAGCGAAATTCCATTTGTCTGATTGGATTTTTACTAGCATATTTACAAAAAAAGTCATATTTATTTCTTATTTAAATAGTACATTGGACTTAACAAGTTCTTACGTTTGATGATAGGGAGAAGGTAAATATTATTTTAAATTCAAATTAAAAGGATAAAATTAATACACTTGACATTTTTTTCAAAATATATCCATAAGCAAGCGCCCCAACAGTTTCCTTTCCATCTATAAAAATAACATGGGAATTTCAAATGAACAGTTGTTATTTTTAGTTTCCTCCGTAGCTTTTAATCGTACAAAATTGCTAAAACGTACAAAATTGTTTTTTGCAAGTTCTAAGCAATGACTGTGATTAAAATTGGGAATTTTCATGTTTCAAAGGAATACAATGTTTTAAAATCAATTATTGCAAGATTTTAACATCCTATAGCAAATCATTCTTTTACCCGATCTTGCTGGTTCACAAACTGAATCAAGTTTATCCGGCTCTACACATGCATGCCCAGTTTTATCAAAGATGGATTAATGTATAGGTACATAGGAAGTTTGAACTTATAATGTTTTGGCATCTGGGGACATCAAAATGAAAAAGGTAAATCGGTCCCAGGCCTAGGTCCTTCGGTGCCACCTACGTCAATAGCTAAGTCCCTATAGAGAATTTTGCTAAAATTGATTGGGTATTTATTTAAATGCAAAACTATATTTTTACGTTTTATTCTGTTCTCTTTGGTTTCATAATATGAATATGATGATACTGTATTACTTTTTTTGGTAGCCAGAATCAGAGGACCAAAACGTGAATTATGTTGTTTCATAAGTATTGAATAAAATTATCCATAAAGCTGTTTTCAATTTACACTATGATTTTAATAATTAATATCTTAAGAGTAGCATCAAAGTAAACCGTTTTGAAACAACTACTATTGTTTACTTTTATATTAAGGTGTCAAGAAGGTTAATGAGTGGTTAATTAAACACTGTGCAACTTAGTTTATGCAAAGTTTGCATTAAAAGTTGTGCTACCTTATCTTTGCACTGGTCTTATTTTTTAGATTCTGCAAACCAAGAATTTGCTGATATGAGGATTCCTAGTTCTGCCAATAACAATGGGTTTTGATGAAAATTCCTACTTTATTCGAATTATATCGTGATTTTTTAAAATGTCAACGTTATGAAAACTCGAACTGGTTTATTTCTAACCATGATATAATCTCTTAGGTGGATGTAAATACTATCATACACTATACTATAACTTATTGAGGTATTTTATAACATTTTAAATTTGTTCCTATTGTAGATGTCGTGGCAAAACTAGCACTTGAGATCTTGAGATACTGTAGTCGTTAGTTAATACGTTTAATGTGTTTCAGTGAGATATGTCAATTAAACTGTTTCTCTTTGATTAATTTTTACGTCTTACACATTAGATTTGCTTTATGAGATTCACCTCATTTAAGTGAACCATTTTTAACCAAAATAACCAATATATTACTGAAATAATTAAAATAATCCGAGAATACTCCCTATATCTAAACCCCTTTTGAGTCAATTAAACACTCAAATCAGTAAAGTTTACAAAATTTTGATTGAAACCAAATACACATACTATTATTTAAGTATCAAACATACATGGTTATAGCCAAGAAAGCGTACTAAATACACTATACAGTGTAGCTAAGATGAAATTGTTGATGTTGCTACTTACGAAAGCTATTGCTGATGTTACATACAGATATACACCTTTTATAGCTTTTTCACTGATTTGTTTATTACGATTCAAATACATACATTATAGAACATGGCCTCATCTGTGGTTGAACAAGCTATATTCCATAAGGTATCATCAGTATAGCCAATAGTTTTGTAGACGAGTTACAATTATTGTAAATTATTGACAATTTACAAGTCTTGGGAGGGAATTTATATTAAATTGAATTGTTATTAAAGAAACGAGTAAAAGGCTGTATTTATATGGCAAGTGAGTATTGAGTTGCATATTATTTTTTGTAGAAGGAAAGTTAAGTGGTATTCACTGTTGGTACAAAGTTTGTGTCAATACAAGCACATTTTTAGTGTTCCTTTTTTATGTTATCAGTTGCAAAACAAAGTAAAAAGGTACATTGCCTCACACTTACCTCGTGGTCCTTATGTATATCGGAATCCGCCGATTTCATAAAAAATCTTTTACGGTGGAAAGGCATTTATTTAACAAAAAATCATTCGTGAAAAGTAGTGCAATTTAGAGTCCGATACATGAAATTTGTATTTTGGTTTACTTACATTAATGTACATTAATGTTATAGTCTGAAGAGCAAGGGGGTCTTAACCTAACGATCCACATTTGGATGTATCCATTCCATTTTAATGTTTTTGTACACATTTTAAAAGGTTTGTTTGGTTCTGATTTTGATTCATCAGTTAAAATGTTTGATAACACATTGATTTTGTTGAATTTATCCGGCCCTATATACATTACAGACTGTAACTATCACAATAGATATCCCTCCGGACGATGGGTATTTTCTGAAAAGATTTGCCCTGGTAACAAAGGAGTCCTCTTTCAGGCCATTAAAATAAAAGAATAAGCAATGCTGTATTCTCCAATTAATTAATTTTGTAGCTTATTGTCATCTGATAACATCTTGAAAACGAGTTGGCAGACTGTACATAACGAGAAAGTTGGCTTAAGTTGGCAGAACTTCAAGATGCCGTCAACATAAATAATCTCGTCACTGACAACTTATGTATGTTCGTCCTTTAGAAGAATTTCAACAGCTATAATGGATATACAATAGATTATAGCTAGCTGGGTCCATTGTGAAATGGGTTTGTTAGGTTGGTAGAAACAACAAATCGACTTTTATACACTAAAAGGCATTCCACTTTTTTGATAGGTTACTATATGTGCATAGTGATAGATTGATTTGGTCTATCTGTATAAAATTATATTCACTAAAATTTGTCACAATATGACACAGAAAACTGCTGCAATTTCTTTCAAACGGGCGCGTTCGTGTAGATGCTTTCTTACAATTAAAGTGTACCCAAATAACAATATTACCATTAGTTCACTATGATTCAACTTAATATAGTGGTAGGCCTACATATGATCAATTTAGTATCTTCAATATATCTTAAGTATATGTGTTAAGCCTTAAACAATCGTGATTTGACTTTCTATGAATTTAACCGCGTATTATCAGTTTTTTTGTCTAACAAAAACGTGATGCAAGAAAATAATAAAAATATCTTACAACACTTTTTTCTTTACTACAATTTGAAACTTTACTTCTGATTTTTATTGTAAAAATAATGCAAATTGTTATACAGAGTTTAGTCGGGACATTACATAGTCTGCCTCTATTCAGCTTGCCTTGTTTTCAAAATTGCTAGTCGATACTGAAAACATAGTGAGGTTAGGCTAGTTTCGTGTAAGATTTTCATTGCTAAGGCAGGCCGTTTAGTTTAAATTGTTTGCCATTATGTATGTTACTAATCCAGCTGATTAATTATTTATTGCGTGGAATTTGCCACTTAAGCAATGAGGACTTGTCTTTCTAGTCATTGTATTAGTCCAGTTCAAATTTTTCATTAAAGATTTACATTGCCATGCTCCCCAGATTCAAGTGCATGTTGCATATTATACACACTACACAATACATAGTATAAGCTGAAGTATGGAAACTGTCACGCTAAAAAATAATACCCAGTTGAACTATGTGTTGTTTTGTTTTGTGTACAACCAGCACAAGCATGCTCTTTCAAGAAACTAATTTTAATTTCGTAAAATAATTATATACAATTACAAAGCTTAGCATTAACTCTTGCAACAAATTTTGGAATACAAAACTTTTAATTAAAAGAAATAAAATCCTTTGATCCGGTATTGAGGACTGAGGAGTCATGTTTATAAATAATTAGTTCCAGTGTTGGTCCATTCCAATCTAATGCATTTACTAGATAGTAAATAATAATAATAATTAACGCAATAAGCAAGTCATTTCTTTAAACATCGATGAATCATTGTTAATTTAAATTAGCCTTTAGACTATGTGCTATACTATGTTGTTGGGAATTCAGGTATTGTACAAGTTTAAGAAATGTCATTTAAATGTAACAAAATTGTCCAAGTAAAAACACTCCAAAGTAATATGGAATCACCAGGTTTCCACCTCTCAAACCTTTAAAAGTTAAGCTAAAAAAT